AAAATTGCCAATTAATTCATAGGTTCCGGATAAATCGGAATACACATAGACGCAGTCGAGCAATCCCGAAAGCTTAACTTCTTAATCGGCTAAAGAATAACAAGATCCGCCACGAGCGGCTGCTACTTTATTAGAAAGAAAAAAAAATCAGATTAATGAAACGTATGATTTACCTTTATTGGCTTCAACATACATAGCTTACAAATGCATCAAATTTCTGGAAAAGGATGGAACGGGCGAGTTCGCCCATTATCCTTCGACCCAAAACAATCGATGCTCATTAGCTTGAAATTTTTCCGCCCGGCATTCGTCAACTGTCGCACATTCCCAGTCCCATTCCCCCGCGGCTTTCGAGTCGTTGTCATCGTCGGCGGTGGAGTGGGGGATGGGGACCCGTCGCGCCGACCTCTGTCACGGCCCGAGTGACTACTTCCTAATAGCTCGGTCGGCGCATTTGGTGCCAATGAGAAAACAAGCGTGTCACGACTTGCACTACGTGCCGACGTGGCTGGATACGAGCGACTAACTCTGGATACCGCGATAAAAGTTGTTTGACACTCGGTGGGCGGGAGGGTGGGAGGAAGAGGAGCAAATCTCTCGTCCTCTTGCGAGAATGACGCGATGAGCTGTAAACGTGGCCAAGGTGGGTTGTGGTAGGGGACGACCGGGAGGCGGCAGTCGAATGCCAGGATGTCGAACATTTGCTACGGAAGTAGAATGCCCAGGAGACATTTGGAGAATGACTCGTGCAGATTTGACGAACTTTGCATTGCTCTACTTTATAGGATGACGTCTTCGGAAGTGGTGTGCATTTCGCGCAATTTTGGCTAACGAAACACGGAGAGTCGCATAAACGAATTATAGTAATTGAATAGGAGCGTCGAACGCGCGATAAGGAGGTTGTATTTTTATGAGGAGATAGTAGTATTTTGTTGAGAAATTAGGTCGATAGGTTTTTAATGGCGGATCAAATATTATGTTAGGACGGTTTTTGTTCATTTTATTATTGCGCAGCATTGGAACGAAAATACACTTGTCTTACAAATATTGTATACTTATGTGATATGATAAATTTTTAAAATTTTATCGATGTACGATATGCTTAGTAAAAGGGAGGTGGGGGGGGGGGAGAATCCAGTGCCCAATAAGTAAAAAAAAATAAAAAAAAAATAATATTTGTCCTTCAGCAATTTCGCTGTCTTTCAGCAATTTACCTAAGCCTTAAATTACGCCTCTTGCACAATATAAATTATCTTAAATTCGCTTATAATGTTCTCGTTTATGTATAATTAAATTAAAATATCCCGAGGTGTAAATTAGATTAAAATTTATAAAAACCAATCTACTCCTACGATAATCTATAAACGCGCAAGAAAGATAGATGTAATAAAAGGTCGATCGAATAAAAATAATTTTAAGGTTACTAATTATTCTTACTAACTAAATGAAAATATTTTAGAGCTTTTTCAATGTTAGGGCTGCAGTAAGAATGTAAAATTGCCATTTTAGCAGATTAACAGGGCTTCGAAGAAAACATAACTTTACTACTATTAATATCTACATTATAAATTATCTTTCTTGAATTAATTTGTTCGTTCTATTTTTCTATAATAATTGACCACGAATATTTGTAAAATCAACCACTAGCGGCATGGCGCTGTGCTTTTATTTTATTTTCAAGCCTATGAACCTGAGTACCGAGATTTATGTATTCATTCACGCAGATGTGATAGGGTCGTCATCAGCTTGATGCTATCCAATTAAACAATAAATTATGGTTTGATTTATTGTCGGAATAGCATTTGTCAAGACTACATATTGAAAGATACATTTAAAAATATCGATACGTACGTATTCTTATGTTTTTGTTTAAATATTTTATGTATATTTGAGTTATATAAGGGGCCTAATTTATTTTCGTGAATTTTCGACAATTTTTTCTCATATAAAGTACATTCTCTTCAAAGTACCAAATCAATTTGAATACATCGATTTCAATCAGTTTCACTCATTTTTGTTTTTCTTTATATTTCAAATAAACGCTTGATTTTTCTTTTCCTTTTTCGCACAATTTTTTATGATTTTTCATTAAAATATAAATTTTCAAAACAAAGAAAGGCGAGTGGATTATCTGCCATTAGATGCGAGATGATTATAATATTTTTGTTTTAGAACGTAATAAGAGAAACGTTTTATTTGAACAAAAATTGGTGTGCTCGTATGGCTATAGTGCCTACCAAATGGTTTGTGTTCGTGCCCGTGCCCGTGCGTGCGTGCGTGCGTGCGTGCGTGCGTGCGTGTGCGTGCTTCAGTTGGGTAGGTGGGTACATTCGCATCTCGTCTTGTTTCTGTAATTCCTGTGCTCTTTTCGAACTGCGGTCAGTGAGGTTATGTTTGCTCCATGCCGTTTCATTGCATTTTCATTCGCACATTGCGCTTACGGCTAGAGCAGTCTATACGTTTCTCTATCTTCCTTCTTAGCATCTTCTTTCACATCGAATACTGTCAATATAACTTTGTCTGGCAATATAATTTATAATATTAAGATGTATGTTGAAAATTAATCGAGGTTATTGTGAATAATCTTGCATGAGTTTATTTGAAAATTTCTTTATTTTTGCATAGCAACAGCACCAATTAATATGCGAAAAATTTCTATTCATTAAACTCTGTTTATTCGATTATTTTTTAATTTTTTCTTCTTTTAAGGTTAAGTAAGTTATTCTAATTAACTTCGTCTAATTAAATGATTTTACATTTAAACCCATAAGAAGTAGATTTAGGTAAAAAATTTTAATTTTCAGCGATAGAACTTAATGCTTAATAGATTTTCATCTATATAAAATTAATAATAATTAATGCAGAGAGAACAATTAAAAAAAGTTTTTCTAAATAATTAATGTAAAAGGTACCTTGAAATTTTAAAAGCTGCCTTAAAAAATATAATTATGATTATTATTGCTGACGACAAATTTCAATTCACATATTAAAATTTGTTAATCTTGACAGATTTGCACGCATATCTATATTCATTTAAGTTAAATTTGTAAATATACGTATGTCTTTATTTAAAATATAATACAATATTGTATTTGATTATTTCCATCAAATACACTGAACCTTATTAGACTTATTATTTTCAATAATGAATAATTTTCCATTCAGAATACAACTAATCATTAATTTTTTATTATATGAAGAGTAATTTAAGCTATGAGTTGTATATTATAAATTTCTAATTTCTTGTTTTCAATTGTCTTCTGATGATTGTCTTGATAATTATAAGTAAGCAATTGAGCAAATAAAAAGAAATCCGAAGACATATTAAGATAATATTAATTTTATTAAAAATATGTGCAATTATATAAATATTCGCAGATATGACTAAATGAAGATATGTTAATATACGAATTTGTTATAATTATACAATTACAGTTACTTTGTATATATGTTTGTAATAAAAATAAAAGTTATAATCTTATAATGGACATGTGAGTTTTTCATCTTTAATTAATGATGTTGTGAATTTCTTTCATCTCGATTCATCTATTACACATCTCCTTCTTAAAAATAAACGTATCTTCATCATTGTATGTGGATATATTGAATATATTTCTTTATTACTTCAATTACTTTTACGTTTTAACATAACTCTTCTAATAATTAAATTTATCATCAATTTATATTAAAAAATATATTACTATTACTGTCCAATTATTTTCTGCTAAATATGTCCCTTTTTCTTCAATCTCTTTAATTTTGATAATATAACGTAATATCAACAAATATTTAAATTTAACGACGATACGAATGACAATCGTAATCAATTCATGTTAATGAACATTTTCTAAGACAAAAGATCAGGATTGACGAAACATCAGGATTGACAAAAGATCAATGCTCGTTTAATAATTTATTATAGTAAACAGCGACACATTCTTCATAAAATTAGTAAGTCAAATTTGATATGACAATTACGAGGTTACAATAATTACTCATTAGCTACATTTAACAAATAAAATACTTATATTTATTTTATTTGTTAATTTTAATTTTAATTTCAGTACATTTTTCCCTTTAAATTAATATTTTTAAACAGGGCATGTAAAAAATTCATAAAAAACATAAATTAATAATTGATTTTATAATATAGGTCACACAATTCTGTTGACATAGCAACCACATTATTTATACATTTGTGGATTGAGATTACAATTAACTTGATTTGAGTTTATTTGAAATTTGTTATATTTCCCCGTAACTATTTTAAATAATAGCTAATAAAATAAAAGGTTTGCAGATATTATGATATATATATTTATAATCGATGATTGAATATAAAATAAAGATAAACCTTTTTGTTTTCAGAAAATGCAGTATTTATTTTCTGGTATATATATTAGAAATAGGCGGTTATGTGTCTTTTCAAAGCGAATAATTTGTCAATCTGCAAGCAGATTAGCTAATCCAGTCCCTGCAGTCGGCAGAAAGGAACAAATAAAACTCAATAACGATGTTATTAGTAAGTACAATATATTATTAAGAATAGGAGATAAAATACGTTAGTCAATGAAAATGCTTGTGGATGCGGATTTCTGAATTTTATATTTCACAATTTCATTAATTATATATTCCCACATTATGTTTTTACTTAACATATTAGTATTGCGATAAAAATTTATTTAACGTAAATTTGATCTTTTGAACAATTGTAAATTATGGATAATAATTCAATAGTTCAGCTGGCTATCGTGAAGTTTTCCTCATAATTGTCGAGTGCAATGGAGCGCATAGCTATAATAATAATAAAATTAATCCATGATACTAACGCGAGAAAAATATTACGAACATTAAGGAAATAAATAAAATAAAATGAAAAAAAAAAAAAAGAACGAAAAAAGAACGAAAAAAGATAGAAAACAGAAAAGAAAAGAAAAACAACAACAACAACAACAACAACAACAACAACAATTAACAAATTCCATTACGAATTGTTAGACTCGACGCTCACAAAGAAGATGGCGGTCGAGGAGCAAACCAACACTATACCATTACTTGATCAACTGGATACGAAAGCAACCAAGAGGATTGGCGATATCACCGTGGCCAATGTTACGGAGGACCTGATGGTTCACAAGCCTCCCATATCATTCGAGGAGATTCCCGGCCCGGCACTCCTTAAGCTATTGGACAAGTATTGGAAATACGTGCCGCTACTCGGTACGCAACTTTTTCGCAGTGTGCTAATCAACCGTCTCACCGAGGGTACGATTACTCGATGGCTCACTGCCACTTTGAGATTTTTTTGTTTGCACGGGCTTGGTTTTTATTCTTGTTCCCGCGCTTCCCTCACTTTTTGATTGTTCATTTGATAAGAGCGAGCACCGTACTTTTTCTTAAAATTCATTTGCAATCCAAAAGCCCTTCTTCCGACCGGACAGTTTCTAAAGAAATTTGTCAAGGACTTTTATATAATCCAAGAAAATTTTTAAACAAAAGTAAGAAACTATTATATTTCTGTAATTAACAACGGATTATTATAAAACCAATATTACTCAGCAAACATGTGCCCAGTTAATACCAGTGTACTTTATATGAATTTATTGTTAATGGAATTTAATATACATTTTTCTTTACTTTTTATACAATATATTAATCGATATATATATATATATATATATATATATATATATATGCACAAGGCATAGCCTATTTCTCAATATAAAAATACGCATTCAAATTTATTTTACAAAAATTGTTAAAAACTTATTTATTATCCAATATATTTTCATTAAAGGACGTTTAACGTGGAATCGAAATATCAGACCGTTGAAATATTTGTTTAATGAATATGGACCAGTTGTTCGATTAAATGGGCCATTTGCAGGAGACATTGTGCTTATTCATAGGTATTATTGTAATAATAATTAAATTAATGACAATTCAATATAAGTCTAATGCAATCAATGATGACATTTGAAATATACGTGAGTATAGGCCCGAACATATTGCGAAAGTTTTTGAAGAAGAAGGTGACTCACCTACCAGAAGTGGTATCGATGTACTTCAACATTATCGATTAAATTATAGGAAGTATCGATTTAGTGGACCCTACAATTCGTACGTATCGCTTTAATTTAAGTATATTTAAGTGATTATAAGCTATATTAAGTAGTTGATTCATTCCCATATATGTAAAGAAATTTTATTTTGCTATTCATTTGGCTAACGGCCGGCACGAAGTTGTTTAAAACTCAACTTCAAAACTACTTATCGTACATTAAAATCATTATTATAATCATAATTATTGTTTTAATATACATATATATGTATACATATTAATTTTATTACACATTTAACACTAAATACTATAAATTTTACGAGTTTAAAAATTGAAATTTTTCAAATTCGTAGTTTATTTTATGATACAGAATTGCATTAGATAAATATGAAAATTCTTTGAATAGACAAGGATTACAAAGTATGCAGTGGCTACAAACGAAGAAAGTTTTGGAAACACCTATTGCTAAGCAAATAAATAAAGAATTTGAAAAATTCGAGATGGCATGCGACGAATTATTAATTAGAATTCGTCAAATAAAAAATCGACAAGACGAGGTATATATAAACTTATTTCTTTGATTTTTTTTTTTTTTTTTTTTTTTTTTTTTTTTTTTTTTTTTTATTATTGAACAAAAATTCAATCACAGTAAGAAATTCTTATAGATGTATTATTATTATTATTTCTTTCACATTACTTAATCATCTAGATTATTATTCTAAATTATCTAGATTATTAATTCTAAAAAAGTTGAATGATTAACAATAATTTTACTTGAATACATACGTAGAGTGATAATTAAGCATATAACGTAATATTAATTTTCAGTAGAGAAATGAAAACTAATAAATAAGTGCATTAGATAGAATGTATTTTCAGAAGGTAAACGAGGATTTCATAATACGTCCAGATTACTACTTTACGTAAATAAATGTTAAAATAAACAAATATCACAAATAATAATAAATAATAATTTAGTTCAACAAACTACTGTTTTAGAAATTTGAACCAATTAAAAACAATAATAATAATAATAATAATAATTTTAATACCATCGAAAGGATACCATTGAAATTCGATAAATTTAATTAAAAATTGTATTCTTTTTTTTTTTTTTTACTATTGTAATATAACAGTCGACATTTCATAGAATATTACAATAGAATTGTGTAAAATCTATTTTAATCAGGTGTCCGGTGACTTCAGTAATGAGCTATCGCGATGGAGCATGGAATGTTTTTGGATTTTCATGATAAGTAAAAAAATAGGATTTCTCGATTCGACAAGTTACAATAAGAACTCGGAGATCACTCGATTTATCGAAACTCTCGCAACTGCTCATCACTATATGAGTCGATGTGAAACTGGATTTCAATTCTGGAGGATGATAGACACGCCCTATAGTAAGAAATTATTCAGCGCATGTGATATTATTGATGGGTGAGGAAATTCACGTATTTTTTGCTTTATCATTTATCTAACTGTTCATTTAAATTATATAATACTAATAGAGCGAGAGAATTATGAAATCACGCTATTGTCAAATATAAATTTTTATACGGGTGGAGGCATTTACTTTTACGCGCTGTTCCTTCTACATTTAATTTTTTTTTAATAATCATCAAATCGTTTTTAAAATCTATAATAAACAATACCACAATAAATGCTCTTAATAAGTAAATGAAGTAATTAAAATAAGTTTATTACGTTATGTAATTTATTTAAATATTTTAATTTTAATCGAAACGAATAATTTATATAATACTTATCTCATTCAATTATTATCATTATATAAAATTGTGTAATTTATTTTATTACAATATTATTTAATGATATTATCCAACTTATCACATATAACTGGTATGTTTTTTTTGTTTTGTTTATCTCTCATATCATTCATTATGATATCGTGGGAATATAATTTTTATTTTTTTTTTAATTTATCATGTGGCATAAACTTATTTTAACTATATTGAATATTGATTTTTGTACAAATAATATATGCAGCGATTTAATACACAATCCTAACATTAAATTCTGACGATTAATGTTATCATAATGTATTGGAAGTGACAAAAATTCAAATTTATACATTGAAAAAAGGGAAAATTAAAGAAAAGTTTGTCGTAAAATTAGAATCCATTAGCTTATAGTATATTGTTTAATTCTTTAAATTTGGAATATATTTATGAAAATTCGAAATTATATTATGCTGATAATATGTATGCAGATGTTCAATCATTTGCATTACCAATGCTGAGTTTCATATTTTCATACATACAAATTTAACAAATACAAGTTTAAAAAATATATATATATATATATATATATATATAATTTACGTGTATTTAAATATTATGCTCTAAATCAATACCATTACAATATATATGATAATAAATTTCATAGTAAAGTTTAATAATATCCGATAGTTAATAATCATATTATTAGGGGTAAATATTTGTTGGATTTTGTTGACATACAGAGATCAGTGTAGCGTGCTAATATGAAATAATATAAACGAAGTTCGTGTGGCCGTCGATGCTTAGTGCATGGCAATATCTCTTTACGGATAGTGATATATTAAAAGTCGAGTATGTGACGATCTGCCGATGTTGCTACTTTCATGGATCCGACGTGAGAAAGCGAAGCTGTTTAATCCTCCTCCAATCTTGGATGATGTAGCTCAAACGAGATTTTAGCGCTGTCCTCGTTCTCGCTTCAACGAGGCTTACATGTAAATTGCCATTCCGATTTCTGGAGGGATGACGGAGTTTAATAAACCCCTTGTTATAAGATGCATTGTAATAACGTTCGGCACTTTGGCAAAGTCTTAGTTGTTATAATAAATCAAAACAATACTTAGTAATTTAACTAATATGATAAAAATAAAATAATGCATCTTATAAAATAAAATTTGTTACTGCAGAATCTTTTGGATCTTTAAATTTATCTGTGAATATATTTGACTCGTGCTAAATGCATAATGCATTTTAAGAAAAAATCATTGATTTATTAAACAATTTTTTATTGACGGTTAATTTCTACTATTCAGCTGTGCTTTGTAATACAAATTTTAATTATTTCTCATTCATTTCTTCAGCTATGAGAAATACATTAAATGCGCAATAAATAATAATTGATTAGTAATTTAGTTAGTTTAATTTTTTTTTTTTTTTTTTTTTTTAATTTTTAATGCTTGAAATATGTTTAAAAATTGAAATAGTAAAATAAACGAAATATTGATTAATTGTAATTATTTGGTCGAAAGCTTTCATAGCAAGAATTCATTTTAAATTCAATACATATAGTATTTAGGAATAATATCGCTGTTATATCTCAAACATAGAATTCATAAATTCATTTAAGCATTCATTTAATCCAAAATCTTTTAATGCTTTCATTATAAATAATACTTATGTTTAAGCCTAATGTAATATTCCTTTGTTAGCATTCATTTTATTTAATGCTTTTGCAATGGAGATACGGCATCCTTGCTCTTTTGTGAAAATATATCTTTTTATCTTGTTCACATTCCAGCGGTTTATATACGCAGAAGAATAGACACAACAGTACAGTTTAAAGCACAGTGACACGTTTTCTCACTTGAATTGTGAAACCTGTGCCATTGTACCTTCTGTAAACTCTTGTTTCCTCTACCAATGAACCACAAAAAATATCTATGGAACGGTTATCTCTGCTTTTTCAAAGTTTGATCATTCACTTTTTAAATTCCATTTGAATTTTATAATCTTATGAAATATTTTTAATTATAAACTAAAGCTTTTTTCCACTTGAATGTAAAATTTTGTTGATTGACGAAAAGTACAATACTAGTAAATAAAGAAAACAATATTTAAAGAAAATTTTGAATATGTTATTTTTAATTATTAATTATATTTAATTAATTTTTTAAATTTAATTAAATAAAAATTTAATAACAATTTTTAATGCCTAAGAAAGGAACAAAATGAAAATAAAATATTATAAAAGTTAATTTGAAAAATTAGCTTAATATCGATATTAAATATTATTCGATAGTATGAGCAGAATTAATAATTTAGATATAAAAATTTGTTAAAGAATGATAAAACTTGAATGAATAATGAAATAATGTAAAATTGATTTACAAAATTTTAATATTTCTTTTAAATGTAAAAATATAAGTTTATTAATATTGTTAAAATACATCGAAAATTATGCATTTAAAATTTATGAACGAATATAGTATCTGAATAAAAGTTTTCATAAATAAATTAATAAATCACAATCAATAATTTATTCAATAATAAAAGAATTTCTGCTTATATATATATGTTTGTTACATTTTATCATTGATGAATTATTATTCAGGTGAATTACTTGTTTATAATATTAATTTACAAAAGTCCAATACAAGATATTTCATTGTGTATGTATAACAATAATGTATAAGCTTTACAAGGAATATTTGAAAATATATTTCATAAACAATTAAGATATATTGCCATTTGAAATTCAATATTTCTGCTTGATTCGCAGTGTTTTATACGTAAGCTTTTTTAAATTTTTCTCTTATGGCACTTGAATTTTGTTCATTATAATAAATATAGAAGCCGTAAGATAATTCCGTTTTTGTTATATTTTTTTTTTATTTACTAGCAGATTATATAAGTTTTTGATTATATATGTACACTCTGTTACAATTACCACAATATATAATTTATGTAATTGAAATTAATAATTAAGTTTATATCGAGAACTCTTTTATCGCTGTAAAACAGAATAGAATTGAATAACAAAATTAAATTACGTGATTAATTGAAACAACGGAAATTAAGAAAATAAACTCTCTAAAATAAATTTTATTTGTTTGAACTAAAATATTGATAAATAGAAGTTTTATTTTTAATTTACTATGTAAGAAATTATTGAAGATCTATAAGCAATGATACTATATTTAATTATATATTTGTATAGAAACTTTGGTATTATTTATTTTGTGTTCTCTTATTGATTACTTAAAAGCTGGTATTTAGTAATACAATCTTTTAATAATTTTCTTTTACTTAAAATTACATTAAATTTGCAGTCAAAATTTTTCATTTTTCCTATACTATTTAGACCTTTTTATGCTAAAAGGATAAAATGAAAGTATTAAATAATCTTAAGTACCTTAATGTAATGGTGTTAGTTTATCCATAGTTTTTCAAAACGTAGAGATAATTCAAAATGCAAATATGACTTGTGACGAATGTTTTATGTTGGCTTCTAAAAGCTGATAATTTTATAGGGGATTTTGCATTTTTTTTCTTAAATAAATTATCATTTTTTCATATACTTTTTAATTAAAATTTATTATTTATTTAAAGAATTAAATTTAATTTGAAATTCCAAATACTGCATATTAATTTGTAATACGAATACTATAATCAGTATTTTTTAATAATGAAAATTACTTTTTTATTAATAATTTTTTTTAAGTATTATATTTCTGTTGGTCTATAGTTAAATTAAAATTTATATATATATATATATATATATATATATATATATACACACGTGAAATTGAGATTTATAGTTTTTTTAATTAGTTAGTTAATTAGTTTTAAGTTTATTGAAATAATTTTTCAATAATATATATTTTCAATGAATTAAAAATTATAGTAAATTTTTGCAAACTTCTTGATTTAAATTATTCAAAGATCTGTTTCTGTTAAATAAAGAGTAATATTCTACGTCATCTACAATTGATATAATCAATGTATATAACATTGACATAAGCAATGAAATAACTTCCCTTTCGAATTTAGATCTACGCTTTTGAATTTTATAGAAAATACAGGCTTTATTTGTCTTAACATTACATGATTATGAAACTTTCTGTATGATTTGTAGTAAAATCTACTTATTATATGCATGTCAATCTGTTCTACTTTTGTATTTGAAAACCTGTTAACAAGATTTATCGAATTTACCTACTATGCGTCTATAATTTAATATTACCGTCATCATTTTTCACTTACTCGTATTATCACTTTTATTTGTTTCCCTTTTTTAAATCTATTATTATTTTATTGATTATCTCAGTTATTTACAGTAAATTCCTCGAGCTTATTGACACGTATCTTCGGCTGTTTTCCTGCGTAATGACATAGTTCTGACATATATAGTCTAAAATTTGCAGTCGCAGCACTTCATTTTCTCACTATCTTTACTCAGCAAACTGGGCTCCTTCGACGCTTTAAAGTAGTTTTTGAGGTAGATTTGTCTAAACTTTTTGAGTCTGGTATGTATATTCACCTTATATCAACTATCCTGCAGTTACTTTTGGAGTAAGCGCGCAAGATAAGGTTGACCGCAGTAATGCATATTTCATTACAATGAGGAATATTCATTCGGTTAAAGGTGACTTTGAAAGTAACTTTTCAAAATTAATGTTTTAAATAATTGTAAATTGTAATAATTCATCGTTAAACATTTGGTAACTGCGATTGTAACGAGTTTCTTTTTTTTTTTTTTTTTTTTTTTTGCATTTAAATGAATAAGTAAATGAAATATCTTATTAATCAAATTACTTAACATTGTATGACATATTATTTACTATATTGTGATATTAAAGGATAATAAGCCTTTCGTTATAAAAGTAATAAATAAAATATCCATTTACTGAGTATTAACATTTTTTGTTAAAAATTAATGTTTAGTGTACGGGAATGAATAAACGTGCAAATATGTGCGTTTTATAGGTTTAAAATAATCACTAGTTTATACGCGTAGCGTATTATTTAAAAAAAATTTTGTTTATATATTTTTGGTGCACTCAGGCTTAGAGTTTGCGAATGGTATATAACGAGTGCGCACAAGTGTGAATATAATGTGTTGGTAGAGTGGAATTTATGCGGTATCACCTTATTTTGTCAAAGCACTGTGCGCTGTTCTGACATTGGCTCAGCCATTCGTTTGCTTTTATATACTAAAATCATTCCATTTTACGTGGGTTGCTATTACGACGAAATCTTTACTGTATTCTGCTTACACGCAGAGCTGCATTAATGGAATTAATTACGGAACTGGAACTAGCGTTAGCGTCGTAATTTTCTTTTGTATTTGTCGGATAGCTTATGTTAACTTTATTCTTTATGCGCTGTTAGATTTTTCAGTTGAAATTGTTATCATGTATATTGTAAAATCATTAATACTTTGCAGCATATATACATTTTACATTGGAAAAGTATGTTAAATAGAACTATCTATATAGTGCATATTGAGGTATGTTTTTTTTATATGTAACAATTAAATTTATGCATTAAGTAATAAGTACTCAAATTTTGTTTGCATTTAAATATGATTTCAATTGATTTCAATGCTATTAGTTGTTGAAACGATATTACGAAAGTAATTTAATGAATATTATATTTATACTGATCGATAAACTTGCTGTTTCATTTATACGTGTAATTGGAAAATAAATAATGGAACAAGATCTGCTGTTTGATTAATAATGAAAGTCGATTCTTTGTTCCAGTATCGAAAGAACTTTCATAAAATAATTTCAGATGTTTGAGAGAAGCAAGAAAAGTACAAAAGTTCCAAAAGAAAAGAATTTTAACATGTTATTCTTTTAAAGAAAAAAAGTCAAATATTTATTTCTTTTTCCTTTTAACGAAGTTTTGTTAAAACTTTTGACTTTATTAAAGAGTAAACATTACTAATACTTTTTCTAAACTTTCATAATATTTTAGATTTGTTAAAACTAGAAATAGAATACCTAGCCTTGTGCATTTGTCTCATAACACAATTGAATAAGCGGAATAATAATTTCTTAACCACGTAAGCCAATTAGTAAATATGATTAGTAGTAATAATGATTGAAAGTGATAAGGTTTGAAATAAAAAATATGACTAATAATTTACTATCCAATATTTATTACAATCGCAATTCATATCATATTAATCTATATAATTGCTATTTATCAGTTTGATAGCATTCAATATATAAGCATTATTCAATAATATTCTTAAAAAATTTTTGTTATTAATACAAGCAATACTTTATTATAGGAAAATTTGTATCCTCATTGGATATTTATTGTATTGCATATAAAATTGAAATACAGAGATTAATATTATTATTGTATAATAATCCATCATAATGTATTATTGATAGTCTAACATTATTAATAGTGCTATTAATAATTAAATGCAAAGAAAAAATAACATAATGCATACAAAAAAGTGAATAAAAGTAAATAAAAAAATGATATAGTATACTATTATATTATATGTATAGTATTATAAAATAATGTATTTAAAAGAATAATATACTCTTTGAATTTATTTTCACACATAGTCACGTATAATGCATATTTTTATTTAACTATGTTTATGTAATTGTATTTAGGATAATTGGAAAATACATTCGAAATGCACAGAGTCATGTACGTAACAATTTGTCAATGCACGAAGATGAAAATCAGCATCGCTTGACAATTCTCGAAAATCTTCTTTTTAAGCAGCGTATGAACCCAGAGGAGTTGGCAACTTTATTAATGGATATGATAATCTTAGGAGTTAATGCGGTACAATTGTCATTAGATATTTTTACGAATTCATAAAATTAATCTAGATTACAGAAATTTAATGAAAAGTTGAAGGAGTAAATATTTCAGATAAACTGTAAATTGAATTTTCATTCTTCACGAATAATGAAAAAAAAATTTATTATTAAATATTGCGCTATCCAACAGTATTTTATGATATTTTTGCTTGAAAATCTTTAAAAAAAAATCCTACTTCATTGTAGTTCAATATTTTAAAACATCATTTATCTATTTTTTTTACAATTTCATATTATAAATATTCACGTATTCATTCATTATTATAATTGGTCGTGTCATTTAATTTTATTTATTTTCATGTATATTTAATCTCTTTCGAGTAAAAATTAATGTAACATAATAATTTTGCTTTCAGACAACCAATAGTCAAGCATTTTTGCTTTATTATTTAGCCAAGAATCCTCGTATACAAAGACGCTTACACGAAGAAGTAATTTCGAAAACACCAAAAGATCATAGTTTCACGAGCAAAACATTTATCGATATGCCATATTTAAATGCATGTATAAATGAATGTTTAAGGTACAATTATTAGCCTAAGTAATATTGAATTTCACTCGAATAAATATAATTTCACATATTAATTACACGAAATTTCTAAATAAATTAGGTTGCGACCAGCATTTCCATATATAACGAGATTGTTGTCAAAGCAAATAATACTACATGGCTACAAGATTCCTAAAGGCGTAAAAATAAAACAATAACGATGAAATTTATACATATGTATTGCACTTGATTATAAAAAAAAAAAAAAACTTTATTTTTTAGACTTACATCATTATGGCTAATCAAATATCATCTCAACGGGAAGAAAACTTCGAAGATCCGGATAAATTTAAGCCGGACAGATGGTTAAAGAGTTCCGATGATTCTTATCCTCAAAATAGTTATTTACCTTTTGGAAAAGGTATTAGAAACTGTATTGGAGAGAATCTTGCCAAGCTAGAAATGATGCTTCTTACAATAAAGGTAAATATTCCAATATATTACTGCTAAAATTCATAACAATTATAGCCCCAACAGCTTTACTTTTATTGATAATTTTTATTTATATTAATTATATCGAATAGATAATTTTGAAATTGTTCACAAATTTGATTCTAAACACTCATTAACTTTGCAGATAATTCGCGAATTTATAATCGAATATGATTATGCAGATATAGAAAGCCGCTTCTTAATGATGAATGTACCGGATAGACCCCTTCGTTTCCGCTTTATTAGCAGAAATTGAAAATCAGTTATCATTTATAAGTTAAATTAATATGTAAGATTTTTATATAATTGTATTAGTTTTAATAATTGTGAAATATCATTTGTTAATTTAGTATTCTTTAAATTATATATTTACAAAATAAATGTAATACTCGTAAGATCTCTTCATTAAAGTTGATATTAATAAAATATGAATATCATAGATGTATAATCAATGATATTAATGATCATTTATTAACATTGCATGATATGTAATATTAAATATAAGAATAAATTTAAAAAAATTATCCAGATATTTAAATAGTTTTAAAGTAAAATAACTAAACATGTATTTCTTGAATTAATAATAAATTTTACAAAAATAAATAGTAATTTCCATGGAAATCTAAGTAATCAAAATGGCTATAATAATTTTGTAAGGTATGTCTGTTTTATTTATATTTTTTGATTGAAATTACCAAATTACTTCTTTATAAACTTATGCGATTTTCTTTTCCTATTAATAGAAGAAATTTATTTTATGATCATCTCCATTGTAATGTTCATTATCATTCATATAATAAATATTTATTTTGGTTTTATGAAAGATTTTTCCCCTAAAGCGACAAATTAATGAATTAATAATTTATTTTAATTTGTTATCGACAGTACGGATATATCTGAATCAGCTTTATACAAAAAATGTATTTATAGTTAAAATATTGACAATGGCTTATATATTGATTAAATAAACTTTTTTTATAACAAAGTTCACCTATCAAATATTAAACTAGGTTTATCTAAATTCAATTTATATATATACGTACTATGTAAATGAAAAAATTTTTTTTATATAAAATTGTGTGTATTTAAAATAAATGCAATTAAATTAATCTTCTACTGAACTATAAATTTATAATATATATTTTTTTAATATAATGTACGTGTGTTGTTTAAAATTAATCTTAAGCTATTGCTGTTTGCTATTTTATATGCTTATTTTATTAGGTCTGCACACTCGTTAATTAATTCTTACAAAATAGTGATATGGTTATGACGCAATGTAGAAACATGCTTTCCACAGATTTTGTAATTTTCTTGGAGGTATATTTCAGAATATACTATTGAACTATTGCAGATTTAGATACATAATTCCTACAGCCAAAAGAAACGGATGTTTGTCTTATGTAGTAAGTAGAGAGATGAATAAGGTGTGAGAGATATTCCTATTTTGATAAATTAATGGAAGCTCTAGTAGAGAGTTCGCAGTTTTGGCCAATAACGAGCGATTTACTTATCAATAACAACTTATCTTTTATCAATTTCGTAATAATGTTATATAACTATTATATTAGTCCATTCGCAAATAGCTTTTGTTTTATTATTTTTCTATTGTGTTGATTTTCATTTATTAATCAATAATAAGTTTATATATATTGTGGAAATTTGTATGATTTGGAAAAAATTCCAGTACTTTGTAATAATTTCAATTATTTTGAATATATATAAATGTTTTTTTTCCTTGATTATTTTTTCTTTATATATATTTATATTGACATACGTTATATATTGATAGATAGGATTATTTTTCAAGAAAAATAGAAAAATACGTAAGACTTATATTGCATTAATGCTATTTTCTTTAATAAGGATAAAACGTATTATTTTATTCATATTATTATATATTATCGCATGTCTATATTCTTTTTCATTTTCATAAATTGCTTTGGATATTGTAGGAGACACGAATAGCTAATAGGGTATAACGCAAAGATTGAATTAAAATTTCTTGTTTCATCTGGATGATGCGAAAGAATATAAATATATATTAAAAAAAAAAAAAAATCATTTAATGTTAGTCATTTGGTAGTAGTGAAATAATCTATATATTTGGTTAGTTTTACAATTCCTTAGGAAGATTCAATATATCAAATTGATTAGTAGAAAAACAAATGTCATCACAATAAAGTGAAAATTATTTTATTAAGTGAATTTTTTACAAATTTATAATTTAAAACATAATATAATCAGTAATATAATAATATATAAATGTCAAATTAATCAATAATTTGCAATTGCAATTTTCTTTCAACATTAAAACAATTAGTACAATATTGCATTGAAGCAGCTGGTCTCTCAATTTAGGTAATTTTTATTTACTCCTAAATCAATTACAAGTATGTGTATAAACGTGGATAGTATATTTCTACGAATATTATATCAAATTTTTAACAATGTCATATTATATACTGTTTTAATAATTTCATTGTACATGAGGAATATTTTTCTTCTTTTTTTTTTTTTATTTAAACTAAATAAATATAGGATAAATAAGTATTTTCGAGACAATGGGGAAATAGTTTTATGTTTGATAGTATTCATTAATTATTTTCTATTATCTTTAGTTAGAGTTGTTAAAAATAATTTAAATTTTATGATAAAATTGTATGTTTCAATATATATTTTTCATTGGAATTTAAAACTGAAATATTAATTTACTATATGAGAACAATATATATAATAAATTACGACATAGACAAAATCAGTTTTTAGGGTTATACAACATTCATTGAAAAATTTGATCTGCAATATAAATTATAATAATTAACTAAATAAAATATTTGACAATGCTATTTGTTGTTTAAAGCTGAATTTAAAATTTAGTTGGCAATTAATATAAATATAGAAATTAGATATACGGATTATTGATTTTTACACAATTTAAACTGATAAGTAGTACAATAGAGAAAAGTAATAAACAATAATAGAATTGTTATATTCATAACTAAATCGCAGTAATTATATTCTTGTTACATTCAACATAATAATTAATACGTTAATTAGAATGTGGAAAATATTATTTACTTAACGAATGGTAATAAAAAGTTTGCTACTAATCTTGTATTTACTTTTAACAATAAAATATTCTATGATTTTCAAATTAGTTAACATCATACCTACAAAATATAAAATAAATAAAAGTCTATAAATTAAAATAATAGTTAATTATGTTCAGTAATTATAAATAAAAATAATTTTAATTATAATGGCACTTTAAGTCGCATTTTAAGCATCCAATTAAAGTATTCATGTTTTTTTATTTAATTACTTTCAAATAAACTTGGAACTACTTTAAGGATAACATTTGACCTAATTCAAATAAAATTTAGTTCACATTAGAATAGAAGCTCATTTGATTAATTCGAGTCATTACCGAACGAGTTATCGCAAATCCTTCTTATTTCATACTTCTGCAGCATTTAAGATAAATGACTTGTTTTTTTCATCTACATAAATCACGTATTTAAATATTTACAATATATAGAGTACTACGTGTCATTTAATTTCCACGAAAAATTGCTTCGTTCGTATAGAAAGTTGTAAAATTGAAATGTTAGACACTGAAAAACTACGAAGAGTAAGAAGGCTGTTGCGTTTTTAGAGCAATGAAGTTTTTTTTTTTCAACGATATTTATAAAAGCATAAAAATAATAGTTGATAGAATAACAATAATAATATTGGATACTATTATTTTTGTTAATAACTAGACTAGTTTACTTATTTTACTGAATTTACTTATAAATTGAATTTATAAGCGGTTAAAATTCTAATATATATATATATATATATATATTATATACATTTATTTATCTAATATATATTTTATATATAGTGAATATGTTAAAATCCACCAATATTTTAAAATGAAAAAATTTTCCTTTCCCTTCATTTGCAATTCGTATGACGGATTTTATAGAGAAGAAATGAGAATGAATGGTTATATAAGTATTTAATAATTATGAAAGTAAGTACGAGAAGAGCGATACGTTAGTGGTTTATCATTTGATTGTGCATTAGGTATTTAAAGACTATCGCTGCATGATAATTTTATAAATGTTTAGGGTAAAGCCGATTTAAGTACAAAAAGTCAGCTTTTTGACATAAACTTTTGGATACAAACTTTTTAACGTAACAACCATTCGATCTTCAAGTCTTCAATTTCTAGACGTAAGGTTTTTGATGTTTTTTTTTTTTTGTAAATGGAGTCGATGAGGTATTTTCAGAATGGAAATAAGGACGATTTATATAATCAGATGATATTTCTTTTTATTAGTTGTATTAGAATTAAGGGGTTAAGGTAGAGCGAACGTTTTGATAATTTTAGAGAGTTAAAGAGGGTAAAACAATCAGCTGACGTTCGATTGTTAAATTTTTCTTCGCCCGACTCCCGATTCTTATAGTTGGATTATTTATGGTCCGTTATGTTCACAAAAACTCGGCGCTGCCGTTTTACAATATTTTTCATAATTCTAATGGCACTAAAAAATGAAGGAGATCGATGATTTATTAGTTGGTTGAGAAGTAGTATTTCAATAATATATCCCTGAATAACTTTATCGAATTTTGTAAAATTTTAATCCCTCACATTTAAACTTCATTTTCAATATTGGAATGTGAATATTTGATTTATAAAACTAATCTCCGATATCTTATATTTCACTAAGGCTAATTAAAATAAAATTAACATGTTTTAAGTAATTAACATGTTTACTTGGAAGATCTGTATTGCTCGAACTAGTAATTTCTAATATATGTTTTGCTTAATTTTTATTAATTATTTTATTGTAATTATTCGTCTTTGTGTATTAGTTCGTATAACGAGCAATTTATTATTTATTTTTATTTATATCTTTTGTAATTTATTGCTTAAAATGAATAATTCATTCCAACAAATTTTTATAATAATCCATAATGATGAATAATATTTATTTAATCAAAACTAATAATTTCGCTCTTAATTTCAATGCTATTTATTATACAGAAAAATGTGAAAAAAAGTTACTAGTAAAGATTAAAATTCATTTTTCTATTATACAAAATTTTGTAAGAACTATTAAAATTTTTATTAATTTTGCTGATCAATAAATTTCAAACTTTTCACTGTAATACATAATTCAATTTATAATGTACTTTTCTTTCGTTACGCGTTATTTTATTTATTCTTCGCGATATATATATGTGTGTGTGTGTGTGTGCGCGCGTGTGCGTGTGTGCGTGTGTGTGTGTATGTGCATATATACTAATCATTCGAGATATCGTTTTATTTCATCGTTTTTACTATGAGAAAAGGCAGAATGAACCTATAGGTTATAAAAACAACGAGAAGAAAATGTCTAAAGACGTGAAAAGATGTTCCAGAGTAAATGGCAAACATATAATGAAAGAAATTATTGATAATGTGAAATTCACAAACCAAACTAAGTATCATATAAGCAAAAGTCTCGAATTTCCAAAGCAAATGTTTATTGTACTAATTCATGAGACGTTCAAGTAATGTCCTTATAAATGCAAATTTCTAACATTCATTGAAGTGTGCCTTAAATATTAATTATGCAATCAATATAAATTATTGGTAATTTATCCGCAAATATTTTTAGATTTATCAATAATTATTATATCGTTATAATATTATTATAATAATTATAAATTAAGTTTTATGTATTTTTTGTAAAATTTATCGACAGTCATGATTGATTAATACAATAATTAATATATTCCATAAAAAATGGTAATAATTTAATATGTAATGAATGTTCATACATCAGGTTTACAATTATTACTTAGTTAGTCGTATAGATAAACTGAAAGTTGAATTCCACTATGTTCGATTCTGGATCTCTTTAATAGTATTTGAAAGCTTCATTTTAGTATTAAGTATGTAATAAATAATTCCATTAGTTCGACTATATATTCATCTATCTAATGCTGTTCTCAAATTAACAAAGTAGCTTACAGATGTAGATAGAAACTACAAATACATACACACACACATAGGCACACACAAAAACATATAAATATATCAATAAATTATTGCATCTGGATAGCAGTAATAAAGTCAATTTTATTCTAATTTTTAAAAATATTACGATTATTTAAAGTTTAAAAACCACGTATGATCAACTTTTCTTGTGCATATATTTTAAAAAAAAAAAAATAAAATGAATTTTACTGAGTCGTTTACGATACTTGTTTCATGAAATAAGAAAATACTTTTTTACTTACCCCGGCGTAATATTGTAAAGTATAAGCTTTTATAAGTCCTGGCACTGAAATCACTATTGGTTGTCGGCAATGAATAGCCAACATAAATCCAATTTTCGCATTTGATACGGAGTTTTGTAGCATTGATATTTGAAAAGTACGTTCAGCTAAGTTTTGTCCCTAAAATTTTACTAAAATTTATAAGGAGCAATTATTTATGATGCCATAGTTTTAAGGCATTAAAAGCTTACACTTTCATACAAATCTTGAGCCGGTTGAGCAGTAATATAAACTCTCACACAACCTGCTATTAACATTGAAACAAATGCTGTTGAAGAACCAATCGACTCTTGCTAAAACGAATAATTTATACATAAAAGAACACACACACACGGATACAAACGCACGCGAACGCACTGACGCACACGCAAATACAAACGCACACCGATACATTAATGAAATAAATGATTATTTCTTGACATATTAAGAATAATAAAGCTTTTTTAAACAATTACAGGTAATTATTTAATATCACTTACTTGAAGTAATTGCAAGGCAGCGTTTATAATAACAAATACCATCCCTACGTTTGTCTTTAAAATTAACAACTGAATAGAGTTTTTCATTTTATTAATAAATCTAAATGATATAATATTGTTATTATTAATACTATTATTGAAAGATAATATCTTGAATAAGTTAGAAAATAAATTGACCAATGAAAACATACAATTGGCAAACATTTATCATTGCTCCTGAATCAATATCAAGTCAATGAAAAGACATTTTTTTTAATAAATTAAATTAGCTTTGCATTTAAGTATTTAATATTATGTAGTCGTTCATTGGTCAAAAGTTGCTACTTAAACTAATTACATTTTAAGTTTTTGATAGCTTTGAACACATTTTATTAGCTGCGTCTTACTTTTAGCTTCATTTACTTTGTATTCTATTAATTCAATTTGCACCGCAGTGTAGAAAAATATAATTGAAAGCATCAGATCCATTATGATGCCAAGACTAGTTTGTAGAATTCCTATTATTTGAATGATATACAAAACAATTCGAATTGCTTGAGATTCATATGAAAATGGATACCAAGTATCTAACGGTAACAGCTCCGAATTAAATACGCTTTTTATTATAAATAATGATGCTGTCATTTGAAAAATTATAGTCGTGGCTATTTGCAAATTTTTGTATTTATTTATATATTTCTTCAACAACATTTCTTCACGATGATTAGCATTCCCAATGAAATCTTCAATTTCTTTAAAAATTTCCTGTTAGTGAAATATATATATATATATTTATATTTTAAATTACGCAATACTTTTATTATTCAAGATGATTTCTTTTCATTTTTCATTATTGTTAGTGTAATAAGAGACTATTACACTTTTATTTAAAAATAATAACAAATATAATTCTTTTTTACAGGGGAAATGTTTCTATAGAATTTTTTTGTATTAAATCATATGGTATTCTACCAATACAAATAAATAACAGTTAATTGTATAGAAATATTTACAATCAATAAAATAATTTTTTTTTTTTTTTAATGCATATTTTAAATAAAGTAAATTATATTTAAATAATAAAATGTTTATTATTGTATGATTTTACCTGAAAGTTTTTTCTCTTAATTTTAGATATTAAAAAATTAACGAAAATTTCATTTACAGATGCAAATTCGCATAATGATTTTGTCATTTTCAAAGAATCTTTACGAAAAAAATAAACTCCGAGTAAAAGTGGTATTAACACCGAATTATTTATAATGAATTGCATCCACCACATCATTTCAAATCGATAAACTTGAGTTTTGTTCGCGTCATTATTTAAAGGCCAGATTGCCGTAATTTTGCCCATTAATTTTATATAGGAAACAAATTTTTTTGAATTCATTTGATAATTTATGTCTGTATATATTAAAAAAAATGTTTTTAAATGTATAATGTTAAGTGGCCTAGGCAAGCATTATACATATATAGTTTTGGATTTACAAATATATATATTCGAAATTAAATGCTATTCAATCAATGTAAAGGAGTTATGAGAATTAATCAAATAATTTATGAAATAATTTATTATTAATAAAGTTCATAAATTTAATTGTAATATTTATATGGACTTATAATTCTATATGAATTCGTATGGCAATTAGAAAAAACAAATTTTATAATTAGATTTTATTCACTTCATATACCGGATCGCGGCTAAAACTATCCTTTCCATTACACTATTTATTAGTCTATATATCTTTTATTTATTTTTAATTAAATGTTATTATTGCTTCTACTATGGCTTTTAAACAAGGGTTGTACTTTAATTGGGCTTTCCTTTATTATAATAGAGGCCCAATAGCTAAAATACTCCAATACGTCAGTTAGAAAACTTGCGAAAGTATATTTAGTGCGTCACATTAAAAATTAATCAAAATGGCGAGGATAAATAACTATATGTTTTGTAGCACTTGTACGCTCTAATTATTATTGAGCTGCTGTGCATATTATAGTAGTTTTTCTATTTATAGATATTTGCGTATAGTTGTTATTTTGCAAGACTTTCGATATGTTTTCAAAGCCTTCATTCTAAAGTTAAATTTTTCAAAGATTTGAATGCCCCTGTTGTTTTCCATTCCTACAATTACCAAAAGTATTCATAAGAAAATTGCGATAAAACGACGTATCTGTGACAATTATTGTTCAAAAAGAAGTACAAGTCTGCATTTCTCAATAATAATCATTAATATCTTTATACTAGCATAAAAAAAAAAACAAACAATTTGATTTACTATACATAACAAAAGAACTGTATAGATATATCAATAGGTATGTTATTATTCTAAGAGTTAATATTAAAAGAAATGTTGTAATTTACAAAATGCATTCAACAAGGTATATTTAAAAAACTTTTTTATTTTTTTAATTTTTGTAGTATTTGTCCGCAGTCTTAAATTATATTAAAACGCAAAATCTAAACTAAAACTATGTATTCAGAATATATGTTGTAATTTTGAAAATGCTATTATCAGTATACAACTTGTGTTAGGCGTTATGCCTTAACTTTTTATAATTTAAATAAAGCGATTATATAAAAAGGTAAATAAATTAAACTAATATTCATAGTAATTATTAACCATAATGTAATATATATAAAAATTACATTTTTAAAAATTTAAAGAGAATTTTATTTTTGAATCATATTTTTACAATATTTTGGGCATATATTAAAAACTCGTTAGTATGAATAATAAATTAATAAATAAGAGAATACAAATACTTTAAATACTTGACGAAAAACTTATACTTTGTTGAATAAATAATCAGTTTATAAAATTGTAATTAAATTTGTTTAACATTATTTCAATTGCACTTGTTCATTTTGTATCGAATGCTAATATGGTAGAGACTATAAATTTATTAACTAATTAAATTCTTCAAAGGTTATTTAGTGATGAAACTTATTAATCGTGTGACAAATATCTACTTTAACTAAAACAGAAACTTAGAATTTTAAGGCACCGTTTAAAGTACGTTCACTTACATCAATCATTACTTTCTACCATTTGATAATGAGGAGAAACCTAGTATACATTGTCCACTGTAATCAACGATTCACTTTGTACATGATTTGTAATCAGTTGACGAGTGAACGGAAAATGAGCAACGAGCTAGTGTTTAACTGGGCTACGAAATCGTTAAATTTGCAGACAATGGCGCTTGAAGAGTAATTTTAAAATTAACATAGAATGGTAAAATCAAATCCAATATAAATACTGTTAAAGGCAGAACGAATAGGAGAATAAATAGATGGAGAGAGAGAGAGAGAGAGAGAGAGAGAAATCTATAGAAGAGAAGGGTTACTTTCGAAATCCATTTTATTTATTTAGTCATTGAAGTAGATGCTGTTTTATAGGCTTTCAATTCAACAATAAGGATTTATTATTTCAATTTAATTTTGAAACTATTATATTTCATCATAAGTACGTCAACGTTTGTAAATACGCCAACTTATTTAACATGATCGTAATAGTTGAAGTGAAAATTTCATTTATCGAATAAATTTAGATACAAGTAAAAATAAATATATAACTACAATTACAATAAATATCTGTGATAATAGAGATAATACACTATTAATTATAAAAATTAATATTTAAAATTGTATAGCTGTTGAGATATTTTTACCTGTGTGGATTTCCAACACATACAAAGCTTCCTTTTATGATAGACTAATAAACGACTGCTAACACACATTTATCTGTAATTGAAAATTTGTTTGTACGTAAATCATATTTTATTTATTCATTCTTTTATTATACCTTTTTATCTTTCTGCATTGAAAAGAAGACAATAACGAGATCGTTCTCATATTTATCGATATTTAATGTAATTAATAGCCAATATATGAGTTATGCTGCACAATCAAATTAATGCATCTGAAAATCAATGAAATTATTAGATAATTAAATACAAATTTTAAAGTACAAACGAACGAAAATTGACTTTGTTTATAAACGATATAAATTGAGCAATATTAGTCATTTTCCGTATTTATAAATGAAAGTGGCAAGATTTACTTGCAAAAATTATATTAAAATTATAAGAATTGGACATTTTATAAAATATATATTGATATCGCATTTTTTTTCTTAATCATAATTAGTATAATTTTAATAATGAAATGAAAAAATAAAATTGATAGATTATCTATCTTATATTGTATATAACGCAATTTATTCTTTAGTTTTTTGTAGTTAATATTATTTCAGTGAATTTTTATCTAAAAATTTTCAGCTATTTGATGTAGAAGTACACCTTTTAATACTTAAAATATATTTAAAAAAAAAAAAAAGTAAAAAAACGTTATTGTTGGTAATTCTATAACCTATATTATCATATAATATAAGTATCTTATAATATATTTATATGTATAAGTTTTATGTAAAAAATGTACATATTAATTAATTTAAAATAACTAAAAAATTTTACAATAATTATTTCGAATTCAATTCATAAATCACAAATTGCATAATTTAATCAACTCATTATAAATTTTGACAAAAGTTTGTCGAATATCTTATTGTAAAGTATAACGAAGTAGAATATAATTTCATCCTTTAATATTTAGGGTATCATAAATTTCATATTATATTTACTTTCCGTAGTGTTTCAGTTACAATTTTCCTTTTATAATATTGTTTACTTATTATATATATTTTTAACACAATATGCGATCATATATAATTATCAATGAAATACACCGAGTGTTTATTGTTTATCTTGTAAGACGATTAGTAAAGCTTTTATAGATAATTAATAAAAAGGCTATTGAAAATTTTTTTGGAATTTTATATAATTATAAAAATATGCTATATGTATTGAAATATGATTTCAATTTTATTCAAAACGTTCAAGTCATCTTGCTCATAAAATCTCATAAAATATCTCATAAAACATCTCATAAAATATCGATGGCTAAATTGACAATAAATACTGTAGCTTATAAATAATGAAAATAGAATAACATATCATGTATGTTTGGTTTACGTAACTTCAAGTCTAACTTTACTTGCAGTTTTAATATAATTTATTGGATAAAATCCTAATGTGAATATTAATTGAACTAAATCTGCAGTCAATATTGGTACGCAGTATTTTTTATATTTTTATATTAAAATGACAGGCGTAGAGGTGTACATTCTATGGGTACTTCAGTTCACATGTAAATATCTGTTGATATGTTTATTCATACATACTTTAAAGTGATTATGAGCTGGATGTTTCAATTGTTTTTATTCGTGATTTATGAGCACCAGAATACTTTGGGTAAAATCATATTGAGTTTATATCATTATATTTATATTTATCATTAGAATTTTAATTTTCTTACTTTAATGCATTGTATGAAAACAATCAAAATTATAATAATTATATTTTATTTTCAGTTATATATATATTATAGTTTTTACAATTTATTTGTTACACTCTTTATTTTTTATCGTATAAACATTTTTTTAAGGAAGAATGTTATTACGTTGTTTAAATATCATACGGAGAATAAAATGGGATAAATTAATTAAATAAACATGGAGCACAGGTTAAACCATGTAAACCATGGAATATGAATTTTTAATATTTCGAGAATATAAGAAAGAAAAGGTGAAATATCATTACAGATTACAAAGGATATGAGAAAAGCAGCGACGAGGGAAGTAAATTCAAGTTTAAAGCGCCAGTGTATTAATAAGTTAAATCACCATATTTTTTGTATTCATAGAATAAATTTCAACATTAAACATATTTTTAATTTACAATAATTTATTGGGTTAATTTATTAAAATTCTATAGTTAAAATCACTTATTTTATTGATTTAATTATTTTATTAAGAACGTTATAATTTTTAGATATACATACGAATATTTAATGAGACTGTTTCATACGATACTGCGCTATAAATTATAAATAAAAATTGGTGTTAAATATAAAAGCCGGTAAAAATTATTTATAATTATTGATATCCTAAGTTATAATACTAACGAATAATTGAAATAAAAAATATTCTATTTGTTTTTAAACGAATACCTTACGAATTTTGACAAAAATGGTTGTAATTCAATTTAATTTTATTATTGAGCCAGCATATTATTTCCTTAAATACATTTATTTGATTTAATCGATAATATCAATTGATGATATATTTATTAAAATAATGTTAAATTATATTGATTTGAAACTATAGTACAATCACACAGTTTTCTGTTGCACACATTCTTATAATATTCTTCCGTCTT